TCCGAGGATCTAATATTCTCACAACCAGCTAATGAGGCAGAAACTATTACTGTCCCTCATATGTTTGCTGAATTAGTACAAAATCAATGGGCATCAGCAGCAGCCTACCCAGCCCCAACAGGGTACGATACATGATATTATAATTTGGCACCAGAGTTTTCAAATTTTCTCAAAACGCCGGAGGTGGATGAGCCCATTGTGGCACTGGCTTCTTCAATCTTTCCCAACAAGGCCAATGAAGCCCTGAGACCGGAGGAAAAGAGAGCAGAGTTGGCACTCTGTAGGGTGCATGTTTCTGATGCCTGGGCCATTAGGGCAGCTACAGCTGCGTCCTTTTTTACACGGTCCTCCCGACGATGGCTGTTCCACTTGAGGGATATATTGCCGGCGTCAAATGTCAGAGCCCACCAGGACATTGCTAAGATTATTGCAGCGGCAGAATTCTCCGCCGATGCCGCATTTAATGCAGTCAAATTCTCGTCTAGAGCCATAGCATCTCACGAATCAGCACGGAGACTGCTATGGCTCAGACGTTGGCAGGCAGATACCAAGCATAAATGCAAGTTGGCATCAGCCCCAATATCGGGGGATAAATTATTTGGCAGTGCCTTGGAGCCCCTGCTTATTGAGAATAGAAACAAGAAAAAAGTGCTTCCCCCCTCTTTTTTGGAGGTCTGAAAACAGAACGCCCCAGTCGTTTCGAAGGGGCTCCTTTCGGCCTTACTATCAAGGCCCATACGTTCCCAGATCGCAGAGAACATCAGGCTACAGGCCCAGTTTTAGACAGGATAGGTCGGAATCTTCTGATAGAGGTCAGCGGGGAGGCCAAAACAGAAGAAACCCCAGAGGTACCAGAGGCCAATTTTTTCATCGCCCCAAGTGAGTCCTTGACAGCAGTTCCCATTGGAGCGTGGCTAAAATTGTTTGCTGATCAATGGGACAGCTCCACCTCTGATGCGTGGGTCAGGGACTCTGTCAGGTTTGGTTTGGCGCTAGAGTTTCAATCCTCCCCCCCAACTTTTTCATTAGGAGCCCTAGATCCACGGACCCCATTAAGAAAGCGTTGATGCAGGAGGCTATCAATCATCTTCTACATATTCGGGCCATTAGAGAGGTCCCATCTGAACAACGGGGTCAAGGCTGTTACTCTCTATTGTTTGTGGTCCCAAAGAGTTTGGGGGGCTGGAGGGCAATTCTGGACCTCAAACGTCTGAACAGATCATTGGTTTATCGAAAATTCAAAATGACTACTCTCCAGTCCATTCTGCTCAGCATCAGAGAGAACGATGTCCTGACCTCTATAGATCTGACAGAGGCTTATCTACATATACCAATTAGACCTGCTCACTACAAATACCTTAGATTTTGCTTTTGTGATCAGCACTATGAATATATCGCCCTACCATTCGGTCTGGCTTCGGCCCCTAGGACTTTTACTAAGGTCATAGCAGCTTTGGCTGCCTCCCTCGGGATCAATTCTATTCGTTTACAATGTTATCTGGATGATATTTTAATTTTGTCATCTTCCAGACATCAAGCAAATTTGGATACCAAGATTACTCTGGAGACCCTTCAAGGTCACGGCTCTTCCATAAATTGGGATAAAAGCCATTTGATCCCTTCAACTAGGTTAGTTCATTTAGGGGCAGGGGATACCGTGGAGGGCAAGGTTTTTCTCTCTTAGGACAGGTTGAATAGTATCCAGTCTTTGGCCAGAGAGATCAGAGCCTTAAAGAGGGTTTCCCTGGCAGTTTTGTCTCAACTGTTAGGGAAACTGATTTCTTGTATTTCCATTGTGCCTTGGGCTCAATTCCATTGTAGAGATGTGCAATCGTTCCTGCTACCTTTCCAGCGATCTGGAAGAGCCACTTCCAATGTCCAGATAAAGGTACCACACAATTTTCTCAGATCGCTCTGCTGGTGGTCGGAAAACACAATAAACAAGGGTTGTCCTTTCAAGGAACCTTGCAGGGCAACGATCACAACCGACGGCAGCCTGGTAGTATGCGGAGCTCACTTCCAATCCCGAACTGCACAGGGAATTTGGACTATTTCCGAACAATCAGAAAGCATTAACCTGTTGGAGCTGCGAGCAGTTCATCTGGCATTACACAATTTTCTACCTCTTTTCCAATCACACCATGTTCTGGTCTTGACAGACAATATCACAACCAAGGCTCATGTAAACAGACAGTAGAGTACCCACTCCAAACTTCTGATGCAGGAGACGGCCAGGTTGTTCAAGTGGGCCGAGGCCAATCTGCTTTCGCTCAAGGCAGAGCACATAGCAGGGGCTTTAAACACAGAAGTGGACTGGCTCAGCAGGGCCACGATAGATCAGACAGAGTGGCGCCTACACCCGTCTTTCTTCCAGGAAGCAGTGTGGAGGTTTGTGCAACTGGTGATCAATCTATTTGCCTCTCCCCTCAACACTCAATTGCCCCGGTATATTTCAAGGTACCTGACTCAGGGGGCAGAGGCCGTCAACACCCTGCGATGTCAGTGGCTTCCTGGACTTCTATATGCGTTTCCTCCACTCCCTGTAATACACAGGTTGATCCAGAAGTTATTTGAGGAACGAGCAGAATTGATATTGGTCGCCCCTTACTGGCCCAGGCGAACGTGGTTCGCGGACTTACAGGACCTGTCGAGAGAACAACCTTGGAAAATTCCACCATTGAGGGTTTCCCTCTCGCAAGGGCCAGTACTTCACCCGGACCCACAATGGCTCAGCCTAGCCGTATGGAGGTTGAGCAGAGCCATTTAAGGACCCAACAGATTTCAGAGGATGCCATTACCACCATACAAGCATCCAGACGGTCCTCAACAAATCGTATATACAAGGCCACATGGTCCACTTTCTGTCGCTGGTGCCGGGGGTCTAAGATCGACCCAACTGCCCCATGAATAGGACAATTATTGGACTTTTTACAGGAGGGGTTGACCAAGGGCCTATCTCCAAATACTTTATGCAGATAGGTGGCGGCCTTAGCCTCGGTGATATCCTGGGGTACCTTCGTTCCATAGCTCACCATCCACATGTCCACAGCTTTCTTAAGGGTGCTGCAAACTTACGACCTCCTGTAATTCACCGCTATCCGACTTGGGAGCTCAACAAGGTGTTAACCGCACTTACAACTTGCCTGCTCGAGCCTTTAAGAACCGCTAGTCTCAAATTCCTGACATATATGGTGGTCTTCTTAATTGCGATCACATCAGCAAGGAGGATTTCCGAATTGGCAGCATTGTCGATGAGAAAGGACCTGTGCCTGTTTCATGCGGACAGAGTGGTTCTCAGATTGGATCCATCATTCAGCCCTAAAGTAAATTCAGTCTTCCACAAAGCGCAGGAGTTGGTGCTTCCAAATTTTTGTCTGAAACCATCTCATAGACTGGAGCATCAATGGCATCGACTTGACGTTCGAAGGGCATTAAGCATCTATCTAGACCGCACAGCGGCATTTTGAAAATCTGAGGCTCTATTCCTATCCTTCAACTCATCCACTTTAGGACACAAGGTGTCATCGACGACCATTGGTAGATGGTTGAGAACCACCATAGCTAAAAGTTATGAATGCCAGTCCATCTCAGTTCCTAAGGGCATTACAGCCCACTCAACAAGGAGTGCAGCAACATCAGCAGCATGGGCCATACGGGCTTCCATAGACGAAATTTGCAGAGCGGCAACTTGGGCTTCACCATCGCCCTTTGTCAGAAATTATAAAATGGATGTCTATGCCTCAGCAGACGCTTCATTTGGCAGAAGAGTCCTGCAGAGCATCCATAGAGTTTAGGAGTGGATTTCGATCCAGAGGGAGTCCCTCCCTAAGGACAGGCCAAGCTTTGGTATGTCCCACTTCTGGATGCTTTGAACAGCTCATGGGAGAAAGGGCGTTGGTACTTACCTGATACGCCCGTTCTCTGTGAGCTGTGAAGAGCATCCAGCCCTACCCATTTCTTTCCGTCTGGTGGGGTTCCGTTCTGTTCAGGGATCTAGATTAGGTGATGAGTTCCAGACTTTGGCACTCAGTCTTCGCAAAACTGGGGGACGCTGGGGAGGTGTCCCGTGGAGGAGGAGGAGCATCCCGGAGTTTTAAGCCCAGCCTTTCCAGAAGAGACTGAAGTACCCCCCACTTCTAGATGCTCTTCACAGTTCACAGAGAACGGGCGTATCAGGTAAGTACCAACGCCCTTTTTCATTGGAAATACCTCTCTACACCCTCCCCCCCTTTTTTTCTTAGTTTTCATTGAGTCATTCCTAAAACTTTAGGATTTGGATCCTGGTCAATGTGCTTTTGCTAAGATCACATTAGAATATAAATACATGGCTGGAGCAAAATAAATTGCAATGTGCAATTCAGACTTCAGACTTCCTTATGGTGATCTGTGCTTGCCATTTGAATGCCCACCCTCTCATTATGTTCTTTGCTATCACAACAGCTTGCTGTAGTAGGCCTTTATTTCAGTTTTATTTATGAGGAATAGAGCTATTAATTTGACAAAATCACAGTGAGTTGCTTCATTAGCAAATTGAGATTAATTAAAAAAAATGAGACAAATTATAATTAAAAATGAGACGCTTTTAAATAGAGTAGATCTGGGTGTGGACCTTTGATTAATTTTTAATTTACTTGTCCTGTGCAATAAGAAATGGGTGGATCAGCTTGGCTGGCTAAACCAAACTGGTCTTGTTTTGGCCAAACTATCATTGTCTGAGATCAAGTGTGTAATTTTATGCTTCTGTATGATTTGGATTTTAACTAATATGCTTGAAAATTTCCCCCTACTTATACCAGTGCCATAGAATTAGCTTGAAAATTGTGTCTAAAATGGACTGAGTATTTTTCTTTCTTTTTTCCTGCAAAAATTGTATTGCTTAGAAGTCATGTAATATAAAATTCTTTGAACCTCTGAGAAAATGATTTGGTGAAGCAGACGGTATCCAGAACCAGGTAGCCAAGTCTCTTTTTTCTTTCTTTCTTTTTCCTATCTATCCACAGGACTTAATCTGAACCAAAATTTCCTACCTGGAATTTGATTCGGTGCCAGATTACAATCCTGGAAATATTTATCACGGAGAGTTACTGTGAGTATGAACCATTTCCCCTGGCCATTCAGAAGCATCAGCTATTTCTCATTTGTTTTGTCTGAGAACAGGCATTCATTCATGTTTAGGAGTCATACCTGAGGAATATTAGCATTCATGCTTTAGCTTTAGGGATTTGAGGTAGTATTCACTACTTAACAGTTACTGCTTCTTTTTGCTTTTCATTTGGATGCCACAGATTCATCTGTATAATACAGGCGTATGTATATCTCATTTACAAGATCTTTTAGCTTGCTGTTACTTCTGTATCAGTTTAATATCTCTTGCTAGCAATTAAGATGCTGGACATATTGACTGGAAGATAGCAGTTTGACACCCAGGTACTGCATGATGGGGTGAGCTCCCATTCTTGCCTCAGCTCTTGCCAGTCTACCAGTTTGAAAGCTTGCAAATGTGAGTAGATAAATAGATACTAATTTGGTTGGAAGGTAATGCTCCATGCACCTTGGCATTTAACTATGCTGGCCACGTGGTCACAGAAGTATCTTTGGACAGTCGTTGGCTAGGAAATGGAGATGAGCAGTGCCCCTTAGAGTTGGACACAACTGAACAGGGAAACGTTTTACCTTTTTTTTAAACTACACTAAGCAATTCTGTTAAGTTAATTCATGATTTGCTATTCAGAGTGTTGACAGTAACAGAGATGATCATATAAAATACTACTAAGTAGGTGTTGCAAGGATGGAAGCCTAAAATATAACATTGGAGTTAGGGAAATCTGGGTGATTATTGACTAACAATTACCTGTTAAATCACTTTAGGTGGTTTTCTTTTTTGTCACTTTTAGTTATGTATTTAATTTATAAACATCCCAGAGCTGTTTTGGGGTGAGAATATGGTGAATATCTCAGAGGCCAATGAATTTGTTAGTGGACAAGATTCATTCTCATTCATTCTCTCTCTCTCTCTCTCTCTCTCTCTCTCTCTCTCTCTCTCTCTCTCTCTCTCTCACACACACACACACACACACACATATCTATCTATCTATCTATCTATCTATCTATCATCTATCTATCAATCATCAAGTCAGTTCCATGCAAGCAAATTGTGGTCCATGAATCCACTGAATTGGGTGGCAGAAAAAGAGGGAAGTGTCCAGTTCCATAAACATTGAGGAATACCATGCAGGCAGATGAGTTATTTGACAGAATTTAGGGAGTGTTGAATCCCTTCTCTCCATCCACAAACTGCCAGTGACGGGAAGACAAATAATCCAATCTTGAATTCATTGCCAGTATTTTAACAATCAGTTGTTGTGGCATTTATTTCTTAATTTGTTAGATTTATAGCCCTACCTATTTTATTTTCTGGGAGTTGAAGACCATTTACATGAAGCTACCAAGTTTTACTTTATTCCATAAAAATAATCCTGTGAAGTAGATTGCACTGAGAGTAAGACTGCCGCAAAGTTACTCAGTGCATTTCAGTGACTGAGCTGAATTTGAACTTCAGTCTCCTGAGTTCTAGTCCAATTAATAATCACTATACTATGCTGTCTTTCTGTGGATTGTTGGCTGCCTTGCTTGATATGCTTAGGGAGAAAGAAAGGGAAATAAAAGTGATGATACATTATTTCACAAATACCTGTTGTGTAATGCTGGTAGTAGAAATTGCAGACATTTATTTTTGGAGTTAATTGATCTATTCAAAAGTTATTAAAAGTCACTGATAATCTGTGAGTAGTTCAGGTGGATTTGTTTTTTGTTGTCTGAGAAACATGAATAACACTTGGTGTTTCGTAAATGATCAAAAATAGGAGTTTCTATAATTTGATGTTTCTGGAAATGGCTTAGAGTCATGGATAAAGTTAGCAATCATCTCATAAAGTAAGTTAAAAAACAGACAAAAATAGACTGCTTCCAATTCAGGTTTTAGGTTCTTTGATCTGTATTGGAAGAGAATTACAAGAAGAGGCATGTATAACTTTCTATCTTATATACTGTTTCTGACTAAATAGATGCTAAATATAAATGTATGTACTTTGCCAGAGCTTCTAAAGAAACAAATTTACAAATATCACTTAGGTTGAGAAGTATATATACTCAAATTTATTCTTTTATCAAATTTGTATGGCTGTTCATCTCATAAAGAGTAACAACAATAAAAAAACAATAATATAAAAACAATAATTATAAACCAAATAAGTTAAATTAAATCTAGGTATAAAACGTTGACCGTCATTTTTGATGCCTGAAAATATTTGCCACAACATGCAGGTAGCTATAATTTTTAAACATAACCAATTGATTTTTTAAAAGAAAACATTTTTATTGAGGGAAAACAAACTTTGAAGTCTTTCAGAGGAAATGCAATTTTTAAAACACAATGAATAATTATTTAGTCAACCCACATTTAGTTTACTGTTCATGTAAACAGTTTTCCTCGTTTATGTGAATTTATTATTTAATATTCTGTGTAGTTAGGTTAATTGAGTAACCCAAGGCAACACTTGTATGTAATATGATACAAATGTGTCATATGAAAATAGAACTTGGGTTTTCATTCCTTCCTCCCTTGGGCCATGTTGTGTCCCCTCCTTTGACTTATCAGCCTTCAAGTCCCAAAGATATTTCAGTGACTTTAATTGAATAACAGAATAAAAGAGTTGTAAGGAACCATGGAAGTCTTCTAGTCCAATCCTCTGCTCAAGTAGAAGACCCTATACCATTTCAGACAAACAGCTAGCTGTTCAGTTTCTAGGTTAAAAACTAAAAACCTTTGCAGTTTTTTGATGAGGAACGTGATCAATGTCCTTATTTACCTATTTTATTGATTTTATTACAAGGTATTTTTACATGCTATTCTTCAATAGCAAGTGTTTCTCCCAGAGAACAATATGTAACTTAACTACATAGAGTAGCTTATTTTGTGTTTAAGTTAAAATGCAAGAAATAGACAAATTTAGAATTCTCACTGGAGACTTGGGGATTTGAAAAGAGTTCCACTTTGTCACATTTCCAGGAGGAAAATGATGTTCCTTGAAGAACTTCAAGCTGTGTATTATGGAAATTATAGTTCATGGATGACATGATCAAACACTCTATAGGATTTTATCTATTCTGTTCTGTTCTATTCTAGTCTAAGGCAAAATGTTTTGGGAAGTGTTGGGTGTGGAACAGGAAGCACTTGAGAGCACAGAACTAATTTATTTTCTTGTCTTATTACCTCAAGAATAATCTTCATATACAACAAAGCAAAAAGTAAATACAGAGTTTTTGAAATGACAATACATGGTGATGATAGTGTTTTGCCTCCTAATTTAAATAAAGAGCTATTTATTTTTAAAGGTCAGTATATGTTGGATAGAAAATTAGGAGCCACTGTAGAAGATCAAATTCTTACACCGAGGGAAGAAAGGCATATGTTGTTTTTGTCACTTTATATCGGTCTGTCCTTGTTTTATTACTAAGAATCTAGGATCCTAAGAAGCCACTTCATGGCAACCATAAGGTTTTCTAGTTTTCGATTTGTATAATAACCACAAGTCTTTCTCAAAATGTACCAAGTTTTTTTTTTTTAATTTCTAGGTCCAGTTATTCTAGGTCAGGCTTTGGTTGGCAGTGGTTTTGAAAGACTTCAAATAGGGTTTTTTTCTATTCTACTGGAGATTCAAGCAATTGAATCTTCATGAAACTATTTTGTATAAAATAGTTCTCCACCAAAGTTTGGTATCCTTCTCTTGATTTGAAAATTTATCTTGGCTTTGTTCAGACCTTTCCTTAGACATGTGCAGTTGAAGAAAGCTTGAAGAAAATATAGTTAAATTGAGTAAGATAATATGAAAAGTAACAAAAGAATTCAATGTATTGAAATTTGTTGAATTTCTTCAAGTAAAGGAATAAAACATATATAATCATTCTCTGGAATGTTTAGTTGGTTTGGTATAACAGCATGGCTGAAGAAATATTGTTAAGCTTTCCAGATACTTAATCCAGTTTATCACTCAAAGTACTTTACTTGAGATTTGACAGTTGTAGTGTCAAAACTGTCTACAGTTATAGACAGTTTTTATATATGGGTTTTTTTTTTGTGTGTGTGTATGTATGTGTGTATATATATATATATATATATATATATATATATATATATATATATAGCATTCAGCTTTGTTCTGGTATTTTCCCACTGTACATTGTAGTTGTGCCCACTGTGGGGGCCTGACTCACAGACGGACACAGTACAGAAGCCTGATGATGGCAGATGAGATTCTACCGAAACGTTGCTACAACTTTAAAAGCACAACTACAATGACATGGGAAAATACCCGAACAAAGCTGAATGCCATACATGTAAGTACCCGCGAAAACTTAAGAGAAAACACACACACACACACACACACACACACACACACACAC